TTATAAGACCAGCATGTGATTTTAACCACTGAGCTACTTCTCCAGCCACTAGGCATTCAGTTATCCATTCATTCATTTAGTAAGCCAGTGATTACTGAATATCTGCGATCTAGGCACTGGCAATTTCTAATGATTTGATGCTGACCCAATTCCAAAATGCACATACAATTAAAAGCTGCCGTAACTAAACAATACATAATAGGACAACTGACCTAGCACAGAAAACCAAGAGAAGTAACTTAAACCTGAATATCTGAATTAGAGATTGGAGGGAAAAGGACAGAGGAGAGGAAGGACAGGAGTTGTGCTAAAGGGCACACAGGAAATAAACACATGGATGTGACTCAGGAAAGGCATGTAGATCTTATCTAAACCACCTGCAGGAGGAACACTTTGAAGACTACTCCACATTTGTGATGCCGTGGCTATATACATAAAGTAAATAATTAGTCTAATTTTATAAAACTCCTTAAATTACAAATATGATATGATATAATGTAAGATCCAAAGCCATATTCAAAGTTCTAAGTATCTGACTAAGTAATTCGGCCAAACAACTTCACTTTCAATGACTGAAAAGAAATATTTTTAATTAAATTTAATAATTTTAATAATAATCATATGGATAATCTTTGGAAGCATAGATGGCTACTATCATTTTTCCTTTTAATATATTACACAGGGAAACAGTTAAACTGAAAAACAAATGAAAATATTTTGTAGTTCGATGAAGTTGCAGATGGCCAGTTTTACATCTTCATAATTGCCTTCCGCTCCAAATCGAGGCATGTTTCTTCCATTAGAGTTTTCACTCATCCTCCCCTTGTTCCCACTGCTTCATTTACCCCATATTTCATTATTTATTGTTAACTGGCACTCTTGCTTAGTGAATATCATATTGTTGATAAAAACCCATCTCCTTTATATAAAGCTAGTAGATTTTGTCACTACCCAATAGGAAAATCAAGCAGAAGCTGTCAGTCATGTAGTAGCCAAGGTTACATTATCGAAATGATACACCTGTGACATCTAATCCACACCCGAACTGCAAAGAGATCAGCTGACTTAGAGATAGTATGATCTGTGCCTGGCTATGCTGGAAATCACTCCGCTCACACACGAATACCAAATCTGATTTAATAGGCTTTTGCTCTGTAATGACTTATGCAAGCACTGTCAACAATATATAGATATATAAAAAATCCTTTAATTCAACTAACCTGAAAGTAATTCCATTTGGTTATTGAAATTCATATCTATTGTTTGTACAATTTCTTTCCTGTCACTGTAATATACTTCTAGGTTGTCATGTTGAATAGATAGGTTTGGAGTCAATTCTGCTGTTTCCCTTAATGTTGGTAAAATAAAGAAATGCATTTTAAACACTCAAAACTTCTTTAAAAAGTCTCTCTCACTTTATCTTTGACCACTACATGTAGGCTGCATCTTTATAAAAGACCTCCAGATTCTATTTTGTACCATAGCATAAGCTGCAGTACACACACACACACACATACACACACACACACGTGTTTAGAGCACAGATAGGTCATGCTACTATTAGCAATACAGTTTCCTACTGGGAAATAGCAAATTGATCTTTAAAAGTGTTCCAACTGTTCTGAAAACTTTCCCACAGGCACATCATCATTATACTACATTCATGGCAAGTGTAGCCAGCACGTCATTTGTATATATGTAAGAACTTGAGATGAAATCTAGTCTATCCAACAAATCTGCCAGTTTTCAAATAAAAAATAAGAGTAAATGTATTATTTAGAGGGCGTGCATATACACAATAATACAGTGTTATACAGTCTAGCAACGCTCATCAGTACTGTTATTTTACAACTTCTCGCACTTTTGGGGGGAAGAGACCAAAGAATGTTTAAGTAAAGAAATAATTACTACCCTAACATGAAGAGACGGTGAACCAAAAACAGTTGCTACTGCTACCCAACGCAGTGCCTTAACGAGATGTGGCAACATTGAAGAACTTTAAATACCATTTCCCTCCATAGTACTTTATGCTTAGTAAAAGACATACCCTCTCCAATACAAAAATACTGACCATTACCTCCAAATGGTCAAATATTTAGCAGTACCCAAATCTGTTTCAAAGCAAGTCTATCTACCCTGTGTCCTCTTGCTGTGCTCTAATCCAGGAGGTATTGTATCTTAGGTCTTGTCATCCACAATTTACTAATTCTACTACCCCTGAAATAAGAAAGTTTAACCTACCCACTGAAGACTTTTCAGACAAAGTGTAGCATGAAATGTCACTGTCATGCTGGGAACCTCTGGACTCCTCACTTGAACCGTGATCTGTGGGACCACCAGACCTTGAGCAGAGACCCACTTCCCCTTCTGCCTGGGAGTAGGCAGCTGTAAGACAATTTTTAGTAAAAAACATGTTTACTAAAAACGATACAATAAGTTCCTGGAAAAGGCCTTCCCACGGAAACCGCCCTGACCTCGACCTTGTCCAAAGACTAACCGCACCTTCAAAACCCACATACATCCACCTCTGGGGTCAGAGCAGAACCAGCCAGGGTAGAGGAGAGAGCAGAAGCTTCTCTGGTGGGAGCTTTTCTTAGGAGGTTTTCTTGAACCTTTTTGGAGCCTGTTTAAAGTTTTCTTTATATCGTTGAACGAGTCTCTGTGTTGTCAATCCCCGACACCCTCCGCACGTTCTCGGACACAGGCCGCACAGCAGACGTGACAGTGATCTCAAGCTATCATGAGCTGTTAATTCTGTATTTAAGTAGGCACATCATATGCCTTCAAACTGTCCATAAGCTCCTGACGGGCAGGATGTATAGAAGAAAGTCCCTGTGTGCCACAAATCTGTCAAGACAAACCACTGCTCAATATAGGTCCTTCATATGAGTACTATAATGAGTAATAAAGTACAATAAAAGGCAAATAACTACTACGGTTAAGGTCATAAATGCTTCATTTTCTACTTCAGGAACTGAATATCAACTAACAGTCCATAGTATAAGGAATAGCTTTAAAATAAGAAGCAGCCACTGATTCCAAAGATATTAACAATATTCCATAAATATGACTTTCAGTTACAGTAATGGATAATTATCTCTATGTACCAAGAGACCCAAGAGTACTACTATGGTACTAAACTCAGAGTTTTAATATGTATAGCCAGAGTCCACTGGACATCAAGACGCTCCAGCACTGCAAATGCACCTCAAGCTAGCAGATATATATATACATATATATATATGTATATATATATGGATCCAGTAACTCTGTTCAAATGAACAGGGCTGTTAGGGAAAGCTACTTACACTGGGACTCACACACACAAACTTTTTTTTTATCAAAACAGTTCTAGCCAGGCGGTGGTGGCACACATCTTCAATGCCAGCACTAGGAAGGCAGAGGCAGGTGGATCTCTGTGAGTCCAAGACCAGCCTGGTCTACAAGAGCTAGTTCCAGGACAGCCTCCAAAGCCACAGAGAAACCCTGCCTTGAAAAACCCAAAAATAAACAAACAAAAAACAGTTCTGGTCAGTCTCTTTAAATCAGGTGACAACGAATCACTCTGATAATAGGCTGACTAGTTCTTTTTTGTGTAACTACAGAAGGTGTAGTTGTAACATGGAATTTCAGTTTGACAAAAAAAGAAAAAAGAAAACCATTATATTTGTCAGTCTTAAGGAAAATTCAGCTTAAATTAAAGTCCCACGATCACAGTCAAGTCAGCAGTTCTATAGAAACATAGGTTACAGGGGTTGTCACTTCAAAGGACATAAAAATTTTGCTAAGGTACTCCAGTAGACACTGTCCCACATCTAAGCGTCAAATTATGACCCAGTAATTGGCACCCGTTTAAAGCAAATACAAAGAGAAACCAAAACAAACTAATTATTCTATAGCCTAGATGAAGAGTGCTCTAGGTCGTCCCCAGTAACTAGATGTTAAAGAGCCGGTCGGTCGTGGTCGACATAAACCCACTTAACTGCTGCTTCCACATCCTCCGTGGGCCTTTTAATAACATCTCTTCGTGTAAAGTAGGTGAATATTCTTTGAATAGTCCTTATGGGAGGGGAAGAATGGAAGGTGTGTGTTATGTTTCAAGAGAAAAGTGGTTTCACTAGGGAAAGCAAGCAGGTTTTCTGTCCTGTGGTGCTGGTGGGGACCTTAAGAGGTAAGAGGGACAGACAGCCAGGACACCAAAACATCAGAACAGGGATCCATGACCTCCAAGGAGCACTTGTACCTGTACAGATCAGAGTGGATTTCAGACTTCCTTCTTTCGTTTTATGCAGCGTGTTCTACAAGAAGGTGAAAACAGAATTGCTTCTAGTTCCGAGCGGGAGGGGCTGAGCATACACAGAAGGGAACCCCACAACTCTGCCATAAATAGCCTTTCTTCTCACTCGGGATACTAGCCCCCTTTGCATCAACAAGGCGCAGCTTCCTCGCAGTAGCGCCATTCACAAATCCCTCGGTCGCCCCTTTGCGCACGCTCCCTGGGCGCTGGCACTGTGTGAGCGAGCGAGTCCCTAAGACAGGAGCCAAAAGGTGAAGGGGGCCTGGCAGCCACCTGCTGTCAGCGCGGGGCTCACTTTCCGCCCGGGTGACTCGGCGCCAGAACACACGCAGGAGCACCCCACCCCACCCTCACCCCCCCAACGCCCGCACCCCGCGAGCCCCGGGTGCGCCACAAAGCAATCTGTCCACTCTGCCGTGGCGGGCTCCGGAGGCAAGGGCGAGCTGCGGTCGGCGCGCTGCCGCTGGGTTCCCGCCTGCCCCACCGCACCGTCCCCGCCCCGGCCCCCAATGCACCAACTCTGCCCGAGACCCCCCACCCCCCAGGTTGCAGGGACGGGCCACACCGCGCAGTGCCCACGCCCGCCCGCCGGGTGAGTGTCCCCCCCCCAACCCCCCGCAGGGCCCGCGGCCGAGCCCCGGCGGGCGAGTCAACCTGGCGCTCCGCCCAGGGCCCGTGCCAGCCGGACGCACCGCGCTGCTACCTGGAGCTGCGGGCCGGTCCCGACGCGGCGTCCACTCTTCTCGGTCGGTCGTTCGGCCGCTGTCTTCAGCACTCCTCCCGCCGCTCCCGCCTGCGCCACCGCAGCTGCTCCGCCAGAGCTTCGCAGTCAGTCATGATGAGCTCTCGGGGATGGGAGCGGGCGGGGCGCGCGGCGGCCGCGGGTGGGCGGCGGTGTGCGCCGCGGGGCCGCGGGGTGGCTACAGCGAGCGTCTCCCCCGGCAGGCCGCGCTCCCGGCGGCGGCAGGAGGAGGCGACGCGGCCTCCGAGCGAGCGGGTGACCGAGTCGGGCCGGGCGGGGGCAGCCCGAGGGCGGCGCTGGCCAACCGCGTCGCTGGCTTCGGCGCACGCAGCCTGGCGCGGCGACACGCGCACACCCGCGGTGTGCCGAATCGGGGGAGGGAGCGGAGCCCGCGGTGCGCCGGATCCCCGCGCGCTGCGAGTCCCCTGGGCAGGTCCCGGTGCGCGGCTGGCGGGACGCTGGAGGCTCGGGAAGCAGTGTGCCTGGACTCTGAAAGGAGGATGATATTGTCTTTCCCTTCCTGGAAATAGGGCTAATTGCAATGCTCTGTCCCGGTTTCCCGTGCCACCCGCCCTGCGATCGTCCTGACAACTCTCTAGCTAACAAGGTAACAAGCAGCCAGCCTCCTTTTCCTTTAAACAGGTCCCGCCCCCCCCAGTTGTGGTTCGTGGCGGTCAATTGTAAGAATGGAAGCCTTGGGACTGGCTGGGAGTGGACTCCTCTCCCTTCACACGTGGTCCAGGGAAGCATTCCAGAGTCAGTGACCAGTTTGACACCATTTGACTGATGACCCCTTGGAGAAAATTTGCCACTTTGGAGATGAAAAAGATTTCTGATGCGTGGTGCAGTTGTTTACCTAATTTATTTCCTGGTGATCCTGCCTCCCCTGGCAATGCCTCATTTTCTTTAAGGCTGTATTGGGCCTTCAGCAGTTTTCCAACCATCCTCTTCTTCGCCTCCATTCCTAATATGCCTTTTAGCAGACAGTACAACACACGGAAACCATTTAACTATGAGAAACGTTTAGCCCACAGTGCTAGAATATGGGACCATTTCGAGATGTATGTAATATATATATATTACAGCAGAGTTCACCTATTGGCACCTTTTATAAGCTTCTTGCTCCAGGTACAAGGTCTTCACGGTCTGATATACTACTTAATTGGGAAACAGCGAGCAAACATCAGCCTGTGCTTCTTTCAAGTATGTGTGCATATTTGTATGCATGTTCTGCTTAGTCCACCTGACTTCTGCGATGTAGCTAAGGAGGTGGGGGAGGGGGGTCAAAGTGTACCTTTTGAATGGACCTTTGTGATTGCTATATGCTCTTCTATGAGAATAACTCTGCTATATTACTATTATTATTATCATCATCATCATTACATAGGACAAATCCAGAAACTCAGAAAGAAGGGGGAGGGTAATAACAAGGTTGACACTGCATTTTTCTTCTTGTGTGACTTATGACAGTTACATATTTAACATTTCTGTCAATGAGCACATGTAAGTGTCACGGGGTTCCCTCGTGGTAGCGTACATCTTTGGGTTCTGGGGCTCATAGCTCAGGTCCTCATGCATGCAACAAGCAGCACTTTAGTCACTGAGCCATCTCCCCAACCCCAAGCCTTTTATGTTTTACCTCTCTCAAGCTGATGCTCCCATGCCCAACTCTTCCATGTCTCATGTGATCAGTCTTTGAGAGTGGTTCAGACATGCCATCAAGACCTAAGGAGGACACAACCAGGATGCTCTCACTCTACTGTCCATCCAAAACTACCTCATCAGTCACAAATCCTAAGCCTTTCCTCAGAACTTTGGATGCTTATTAATGAGCTGACCTGGCACCCTCTGGTGTCCCCCAGCCCTTGCCTTTCACAGTGTAAGAGCTTTAAAATGTGCTCACTTTTAGGAATAGGCAAGGACTCTAAAAGTCAGAAAATGCTTGCACTCATAGTTGGAAAACTTAGGAACGTTTTCACCACAGTCTTTAGTAGAAGAAATCTGTGGTTACTGTAAAAGGCAGTTTTGTAGAACAGTTATTTCTAAACATTTTCAGCTGGTGAGTTACGAGCTGTCAAAAGACACTTTTTTTAAGTTCTGTCCACTTTAGAAAGACAGTGATTGATCATACTGAGCAAGTTCTAACCATTTTATTAACTTGATTCTGTTTGCCTTATTATGATCAATAGGGACTATTACTCTGCAATGCATACTTTGAAATTATACAAAATATTTTAAGGGCATTCTGATAACTACAGATGACTGCAGTTTTCACACTTACAAATTGCATTCATGAGTGAGAACCATGGCAATCTGTCAGTTTGTTTTTTCATTAAGACATTAAAGCCAACATTTTCTTTTTTATGATTTTTTCCCAAATAAAGGTTAGAATTCATATGCACTAGAATAAAAGGCATATGAGATGCCCTAAAACACAGTTCCATAAAATTGATTCATTTTAGCTACATTTTATTTGTCTTATTAAGAAAGAGTCTATGTAGAAACCTCATTTATAAATTCTAATGGACACTTGAGAAAGTTAGTAAATAAATTATTCTCTTTTAAGATTGCTTCGTCTTTCAAGTAGAATGTCCCAGTTGCAACACGTTCAATGCTATAATTTTTGTTGTGATAGAAAAACAGAAAGCTAATGACTCTTTCCAGTTTGTTCATTTTCATCTCTTACGTGCTTGCTGCTGTTGGGCTCCCAAGTGTATTTAACTGGCACGTTGAATGAAGATTTGGCATTGCAGTATTTGATGAAAGCAGAAAAATTAGGTTGCCAATTATATACGTGCACCCCTTATGTGCACTGCAGTCCCACCACAGAGAGGAGCCAAATTAGAAATTCCTAAGTAGCTCCACTAAAACCTAAAAGTAGGACTGAGAAAAGATAATAGAGATTTTTTTCTTTCTTTCCAACTCCATCACCAGTCATAAAATAATTTAGAAACTGAATTAACCTTAATATATTTGCAAGACAATGGGGATAATGATTTTTAAAACGAATTGGTGTAATGGATCAGTAGCCAAGTGCTTGCTACCTGGCATGGGGACCTAAATTTGGTCCCCAGCATCACAGAAAAGCCAGACACGGACAGCAGTGCACACCTATAATTCCAGTGATGGAGAGATAGAGACAAAAGGATCATGGAGTTTGCTGGCCAGCCTGTCTAAGCAAATCTTTGCACTCCAGGTTCATTGAGGTTTCACTGTTTCAAGAAAAACAGTGGAAAGCAAATGAGGAAGAGACCTGGCATTAACCTCTGGCCTCCACATGCACACATACACACTCACACAAATTTTAAATAATTTGCAAGTCTTTTTTCTTTCCTCATTATTGTTCTTTATGATGACTGTTATTCCATGAAAGCTGCCTATGGGTACCTGGGGAGAACAGCATTCATGCAGAGCAGGACTGGAACAAAAATTGGTTCAAGATGTGAATGGATAAAGCATGAGATTGACTCACCTGCAGTTCTGGGTCCAGAGAGCATCAAAATTGTGATTGTAATGTGGAAACACATTATTTGGGATAATAAGCCAGATGATAATGCACAGTAGACAAGAAAAAAGTAGTTTTCATAAGCATAGGAATGGTGACTGTTGCTTAGTGAATTGTGTGTATGAAGAGACGGGGAGAGAGAGAGAGAGAGAGAGAGAGAGAGAGAGAGAGAGAGAGAGAGAGAGAGAGAGAGAGAGAGAGAGAGAGAGATTAGCACAACAGCAGCTTCTAAATTCATGAAGAAAGCTAGACAGAAACTAAACTCAGATCAGTAGATTAAACACTGTGTGAGCTGTTTCTGCTGTCCTAAGAATCAACACCCAGGATTGACCCTGTAAGGCAGGCTGGGGAACAAGACTCCCCTTTTACCTGGTAGGGAAAGCTGCAAACACTAATACCCTTTGAGGATATGCCTCTGAATTTTTTCAGGTAATATTTATTATGATATCTGAAAAATCCTTACAAGTGGATTCCTTGTATTTGTTTCTGGTTTCTAATTCTCCTGATGAGGTATTCGAACAGCCAACTTAAGGATTTCTTGCCTCCTCCTGATATAATTGTCATGTTTGAATAATTTGTTTTGTCTGATCACAATATTTTTTAAATTTGTCAAATTATTGAGTTAATTTGTTAATCTTATCCATGAGTCATATCCAACAAAGTGAACTTTGAGTTTTTCTGCTCTATGTTGTTCTAGAACCCATGAGATAGTTCACATCTCATCCAAATAGTCTTGACACATCATAAAGTGTCAGCTAAATCATTCCTAAGAACAGGGTCTTGATAAAATATGAAGCTAACACTAAACATAAGTATAGATATAATTACAGTAATAGCAAAAGTAAAGCTTCAACGAGAAGGTATTTGTACTACTTAAATATACAATAGGCAGAGAACAATAATAAAATAGTCTAAGCCACATTAAACCAGTAGTAAGGAAAGCTGGAAACTGGTTTTACCATCTGTCAGCTCCTATACTGGCAGCTTCACAAATGAGATTTCTTTTGAACAAAACATCACAGCAGGAGCTACAGACATGTGAATTGTAATTAAAATGTGAAAATGCATTTCCCAGTTATTGTCATTTATGGAAAATATATTGTGAAATCTAGATTTATGGAATTATATCAAATTTTAGCCATTTTAATTTTCTGAATCAATTCACTATTTCATCAAAATTTTGGTGTTAATAATGAATGCATTTCCCTTTACAAAGTGTGTTTGCTTAGGTCTGTTTCACTCTCTAATGAGGGTCAGTTATTTTCTAAACACTCAAGTACAGAAGATGAAGGATAGTGGTCCTCATATTGTTAAATAGTCAGTGTAGACCTGCTGAGGACAAATGTCATTTCTTTACATTTATCTAATAGTATCTTATATAAATAAAAGTAATAGTTCCCTGAAAAATATAAAAACATATCAGATCTTTAACCCCATAACAAAAATTTTGTCTTCCTTTTACATCTGGGAGAATAAGAATATTCTAGTTCCCTAGTTTTTCGGTTTCTAGCAAATCAAATACACGGAACATGACATATAACTGTGTTACACACAGTGGATTTTTGGTCAAAAACAGCAATAAAGCATTGTGTTCTAAACTGTTACTATATTAACCAAGGTTGAAATATCATGATTATATTTAAAAAGATTTAATCTTCATTTTTTAGTATATGAGTCTTTTTAGAAATTCAGGTTAATTTTAAAGTTAGTCCATATTCTTGGCATTTGTTAATATGAAACTTATTATGTACATTTGCATTTTATGTTCAAACAGATTGACGCTCCTAACCTATTAAGTGCAACAATGCTTTCCTTGTAGCACATGGCTTCCAATTTTCCACCAAACATTAACATTATTAAAACAAGATTGGGGCTGGAGAGATGGTTCAATAACCAAGGGTGCAAATAGTTCTTACAGAGGACCAGAACTGGGTTGCCAGCACCCAGGTCAGGTCACTCAAATCTGCCAATATGTAACCCCAGTTCCAGAGAATCTGATCTGGTAGCCTCTGTGTGTACCTGCACTCATAGGTACACACCCACACACAGATACACAGACATTTACACAATCAAAAGGATAAAAATAAAATCTTAACTGTACG